CAATTTCAAATCGAGTTACGTTTGAATATGAGAACAATTTTTCTAACATGTTATTCCGTTTAGAAGATTCAAAATTGAATATTACCTAAGAAGACTTAACTCTTTTCGTCAAACCAATAAATAATTAGTTGGATTAACCCTTACATAATATCTGTGCTGTCCTGTTACATACCGTAATACCCGCGCTCTCAGTTTCTATATATAAGAACACAACACAAAGAGTCTGCCTATCTGTCATTCCCCCAGCCATTTCATTTCTCTAGAATTTTCCCGTCGCCGGTATGAGGCTCCGATCATGGCTTTCCTCCACCTGCTCCACCACCTGCGCCACTTCCCCCCACGACTCCACCATCATATTCTCCAACAAACCCCCAGAAACAAGCAGTTCTTCCGATAGCTCCGGTAGCGCTGCATCGTCTTCGGCATCCCCAGCCGAGACCAGTTGCGGCGGTAGCACCCTCCACAGTAGTCTTTCCCTCCTAAGCCTCCCATCTATCCCTTCCCTTCATAATTTATTGCCGGAGATTCTAGAGCTGTCCGTTTCTCATGTTTGTGTTACTTCACTTAAGCCGCTGGTGAAAGTCCCGATCACCTGCCTTGCGGTGCACGGTTACTTCGTCTACGCCGCCTCCGTCAATGAGATCAGCGTCTACGATCGGGAAACTTGGACGCTTCGCGATACATTTAACATCCAAGACTCCTCCTCCGGTTCCGTCAAGGCTGTCAGTTTCTGCGACGGGAAAGTCTTCACGGCGCACCAAGATTGCAAGATCAGAGTCTGGCAGATGACGGAAACTAAGCGGCACAAGTTGTTAACCACTCTGCCCACGGTTAACGACCGTCTCCGCCGGTTCATTCTCCCGAAGAACTACGTCAACGTCCGGCGCCATGTGAGGCGACTTTGGATCGAGCACGCCGATGCCGTCACCGGACAGGCGGTTAACAAAGGATTAATCTACTCCGTTTCTTGGGATAAAAGCTTGAAGGTATGGCGGGCTTCAGATCTCCGGTGTTTGGAGTCCGTTAAAGCACACGAGGACGCCGTCAACACTGTCGCTGTCTCCATTGATGGGACTGTTTATACGGGATCCGCAGATAAACGGATACGGGTCTGGGCCAAACCATCCAGTGAAAAGCGGCATGTGTTGATAGCGACGTTAGAGAAGCACAAATCGGCGGTGAACGCGCTGGCTCTAAGCGACGACGGCTCCGTGCTGTTTTCCGGCTCGTGCGACCGTTCGATTTTAGTGTGGGAGAGAGAGGACAGCGCCAATTACATGGCGGTGACGGGCGCGTTGAGGGGGCACAAGAATGCGATACTGTGCTTGATAAACGTCTCCGAATTGCTGTTGAGCGGGTCCGCCGACCGGACGGTGAGGATTTGGCAGCGGGTGCAGGAAGGGAGGTACTGTTGTTTGGCGGTTTTGGAGGGTCACCAGAAACCCGTGAAGTCGTTGACGGCGGTTGCGGAAGGTGAATCAAGCGGTGTAGTTTCTGTTATTAGCGGAGGTCTTGACGGCGAGATTAGAGTGTGGCGGGTCTCGGTTTCCAAGTCCGACCGCCCGTTTCCCTCCAACCCTCTGAAAATGGAAATTGCAAAATAAAAAAAGGCAAAATCCCAAAAAAAAAAAAAGCGCCTCATTTTCGAATTTCGATTGGTATTTCCTTTTTTTTTTTTGAAATACAAATTTAATTGTTTTTTTATTGTTTCTTCTCTTCTCTTTTCTTTTTTTAATTGTTTCTTTTCTTGGATGTGATATTGTTTAGGATACGTGGGGAAAACGGAAAGGATAAGGTAAAAGAGATGTGATTTATAGAAAAAATGATGAAATAGACTATTTCCTGTTTTTCATTTATCTAACTAAGAAATGGTCCCCTTTTTTTTGTTGTTTGTGTGTGTGTGTTTTTAAATATAATATAAAATTAATGAATTTTTAGTTTTAATTTTAAATTAAAAATTTTAAATTATTAATTAATAATTCAATTAAACTTGTGTTAATTATTTTTTGTGTGAATATATAGTACATACTTTGGGATGTGTATATATATTAGTAAAAGATGTGGGGTGAGATTCAAATATAATCTAAATATAATCTTAATTAATGTAATTAAAATCTCATAATCTTTGATTTTCTCTCTAGTTATTATTTTTTTATATATTTTTTTCTATAACTTCCATTATAAAGTGAAGTCTTATATGGTTAGTTGACAAGAATCATTATAACATCAAAAGAAAATTGCAACACTTGAATATTAATCCATCAACGAAAGTAACCAGATAAGGTGAAGCACATCATATCTTTTTATTATTATTCATATTAATTCTTAACTTTATATATTTATTTTTCATATTTTTGTATCTTTTTGTTTGAATTTTACACAAAACAAAGGTTTATATAATGGTACATAAATGTCGATAGTATGAGAAATTTTAGCTTTCAAAAACGTAATATTTGAAAATAGATCATCAAAAAGACCTTATAATAAGACATGTGTCTATAGCATTGGAGGGTGTAGGTTTCAAAAAAGAAAAGCAAGATGAAGTTTGATGATGACATTGAAAAATTCCAATTGCGTAGTTGATACATATCTCAACTTAGTAAAAACTGTAATTATTATTTTTTTCTCGTTCAATTTAACTATGCTTAATTTTTAATTGGTAAAATTTTACGTTAAATTTTTAAATTTATCTAAAATTTAAATTAATTTCTTAAATTTTTATTAAAGTAAATAAGTCAATAAACTCAATAATTTGAGTAATATAATTATTTTTTTATTATAATAGACTTAATAATCATTTATATTTTATTTATGTGGATAAAATATTGATATATTAGTACTTATATGGCAAGTATTAATCTTATTCAAGCAAGTAAAACACAAACGAAATTGTCCAAATTATCTAGTTGAAGGACTTATTTACTTAAATAAAAGTTTAGAAATTTAATTGAAAATCTAGGGAAAGTTTGAGGCTTAAAGTTAAGTTTTGTCTTTTTAATTTAGGGTGTTTAAATTTAATTATCTACTAATTTTTAAGATATTATTTAATGAATTTATTTGTATTTTATATTTATTTTAAAAATATAATTACAATATATATTAGTATTAAATAAGAAATTTTATTTAAATAATAATTAAAATAAACGTAAAATTTATCAATAAATTATTATATTTATATTTTATTAGATAAAAAATTAAATTTATTAAATTTAATTTTTTAAGGGAAATTTATTAAAATTAAATAAATAATAATATTTTTTATTTTAATTATAAGTTGCATGACCGGAGGATTATTTATTTATTTATTTACTTACGTGACTAAAACTCGAAGTCAAATATCTATTTTTATTAAGGAAAAATTATCACCGAAACGATTTTATGTAACTGCTTCCAGAAAAACCGTAATTATTTAGCGAGCAGTTTGCTTAGAAAACAAGGGAGCTGATTCCAAATGAAAAAAAGGAAAAAGAGCAAGGAAAGTCTTTTTTTTTTTTTTTTTTTTTGGTTTTTCATCCGGTATCCGGGGTTTCACCTCAATTAATTTAGATCGATCCGTGTTGTGCACCTAAAAATGATGAATAAATCTTCCAATAAAAACAGCTGTGTACATAAAATCTCAAACTCTAGATCTTACTTAAATTAGAACAAATCATTTATCCAACTCTTGTCGGTAAAGAAAGCCTATTTACCCAAAGAAGAAGAAAAAAAAAAAATCTAGATCTCGTACCTAGCTACAATATGCTCCTAAAGAGTAGACAATAATCTTGGATTAAGTGTTAAAGTCAGCGCAAACAGTGATTTAGCCTGCAAACAAATTAAATTTGAGTTTTTTTTATAATATGTCCTTAATAATAATTTTTTATTAATTTATATAAAAAATATAAAAATTAATATTAATTTTAATAATATTAATGTGACGTTTAATTATATAATTAATAAATTAAAAATAATTATTATTTTTAATATAAATTTATAATAAAAAAATATATTTATTATATTTTTAATTTATGTTTAAAATGTCACATAAACAATTAAATTTAAACAATAATGAAACTCTGTATCTAAAGCGGCAGAAAGCGGACAAAACAATATACCTTGCTTTCATACCTTAATTAACTGGCTTAACTTCCAATTAAATTGTCTCATTCAACCTTAATTAGTTATTGATTTTTTTAATTAATTTATATAAAATATATAAATATTAACTTTAATTTAATTAATGAAAATTATTCACATATTAATAATATTAAAATAAATATTAATTTTCATATTTTTTTATATAAATTAGTTATAAAAAAATATATTTATTATATCATTAACATGTATTTTAAAAATATAAATTAAATAAATTTATTAATTATTTCTAATTCAACTCAAGAGAGGTTAGATGTATTAATAAATAAATATTATTTTGTAAAATAAATCCAAAATTTAAGGTTTGAAATCAGTATGAATTTTTTTTTTTTTTTCTAAATGAAGTATGCAATGTAAAATTTGTGCCTTGAACATTACCAAATAAAAGATTTTTGAAATTATCCAGTTACACCTTCCCCATAAATTTATATAACAAAAATTTATTTTCAAGACTACCCTCCAAATGCTCTTTTTTGAGATGACTAGCTGTTAAAACTATGGCTTTGTACCTTAAAAACAATAATAATAAAATAAAATAAAAACTACCTTGGCTTTGGCTCCTATGTTCAATTAATTAATAGACGCCGTTGCGAATATTGGGTTATAAATATAAACTTGAGTTAAGCCTTTTAAAATTTGAATTCAAATTTGTTGTAACAATAATGAGTTGAGTAGAATTTAAAATGTTATTAAATTTAAATAATATTGAGTTTGAACTCCATTCATGAATTTAAAATAAAATTTAAGTTTATGATATCCTGATACACTAAATTGGGAATTTAAATTAAAATAAAATAAGATATTTAAATATTTAGTATATAATTAATTTTAATATAATTAATTTAAATTGAGCCAAATTAAATTTTGAAATAATGATAATTGAGACAATAAAATGAAACGAAAACAAATAACGAAGATGAGGTGACAATCATCTCAACAAAATATTATTTTAAAGAAAATTCCACATAACAAACAATCAACAAGCCACGTCATTAATCCCGTAAAATCATCTCGTATATTCGTCATTTATATCATCACCCTAAATTTTAAGTCTAGACCAAATTCTACTCAACTCAATTTTTCAAACTCAAGTTTGAACTTAAAGTTGAGCTCAATTCAAGCTCTCACCTTGTCAATAGCCAAATAGCTCCTCCTTTCCTTAAATTTCTCTTGACGTGTTTTAAAGTTCTAAGTCAGGTACATATGTTAAGACTTGGTTAAACTTCTATTTTGGTTCTTGAACTATTGTACGGACTTTTGATTTGGTCTCTAAACTAAAAAAATCCTTAATTTGATCCTTCAACTATTGTATGGACCTCCGAATTAGTGCCTAAACTATTATACAAATCCCCAATTTGATCCCTACTGTTTACCAATTTAGCCCCAACTTGGTCATTTTGTTAAATAATAGCTCAGAGACCAAATTGGGGCGAAATTATAAATAGTAAGAACCAAATTGGGGGTCCGTACAATAGTTCAAAGACCAACTTAAGTCAAATTATAAACAGTGGGGACCAAATTGGAGGTCCGTACAATAGTTTAGGGATCAAATCAAGAATTTCTTTAGTTTAAGGATCAAATTAAGAATCCATACAATAGTTCAGGGACCAAAATGAAGATTTAACCTTAAGACTTTGAACCTCGTAGATGCTTCTCCTTTGGGTTCATTTTACTCTGCAAACAACCGCAATCCACAATATACAATATATTGTCAAAAAGAAGGCAAAAAATGTTTGGTGCAAATGCACGAGTAGTTGAATAATATATATATTTTAAATCTTATGTATCTGAATTTTAGATGAATAAAAAAAATTTCATTACAAATATATAATTTCATAAATGAAAATAATTACAAATAATTAATTATATATCACAAAATTATGCTTACACAATTTTTTATTTATCGGATGTTCAAGAATTAGCTTATGCATATTTTGAATCTAATTATTATTGTTTGAGAATATATGATAAAAATAGATTTATTGATTGATAATAACTTTTTTTACATTTGAAATAGCATTTTTTTTTTATTCTTTACAAAGGAAAATATGGCTTAAAAACTATTCAGGTCCAAAAAAAAAAAAAAAGGCTTATCTTTAACATTATGGTTATAAAAAAATTAGTAAAGGATGGTGGAGGAAATGAAGGAGAAGGAAAGAGAGGGAAAAGGAAAAGGAAAGAAAAAGGGAATAAATGATTAATATTAATTTTGTTTAAATATATTAAAAAAGAGAAAGGAAAGAGAGGAAGAGATTATGTTTTTTAATTTCATTAAATAAATTAAAGAAAAATAATTGTAAAATTAATTAAAATTTTATAAATTTATATATTGAGATTAAAGTTAAAATATAAATTTTAATTATATTTTTAAATAAAAATAAAAACAAATCAAATCCTTTCAAAAGATTAAAAATAAAAAATTTAAAAGGAGTCTACTGCATATTTATCTACCTCCCTCTCATTTTTCCTTCATTAATAATGTTATCTAAATAAAATAAAAAGGAAACATCACTTTTACTCTCCTCCTTTCTCCTCCCCTCCCCTCCCATCTTCTCCCCTCTCAAGTCTCTACCCTTAAATCCTGAATCCAAACAAAGGCAAAGAGTTATATTGTTTTATTTTTTATTTTTATTTTTTTAATTTTTGCCATCTCGCATTGGATTGTGCATGTATGCATGCAAGTTGAAAAGTTGAGATGTACATGTATACATGCACATGTCAATGTCAGGTGGATCAAGCGATGCGTCCATCCAAGATATCATGATGCATATGCATGCATATCCATGTATTTCTATTTTTTTTTCTTTTATTAATTTAACAAGTGTTTTTCTAGTGTTTATAATTAGAATATTCTTACATTAATTTTGTGTTCGTCGAAATTATTTTCCTTAGTGATTTTAAGGTTATATCCCCATATCGACTTAATGTATTATAAAAATTAAAAATTTTTAAATATTAATATCAAAATTTAAATCTTAAACTTAATGTAATACTTATTTACTAATAAATGAAACCCTTTAATTAATTTAATTTATGGGGTGTACACTTGATGGTTTTGATGTCACAATAATATATTACCTAATTTTTAAAAATTTGTTCACTATTTTTAAGCCAATAAATTTAATGTCATGTGGTTTAATTATTGAACTTTTACTGTTGCATTGGTGATGGAACCAATCAAGTTACAAGCTTTTCTTCTTGGTTATGGTCAATAACAAGACATAAGCAATTAATATAACATGGCAAAGGTCGTGGAAGCAATAGTCTTTCATGATGATATAGAGGACACACACCAACTGATCTGTCCCCTTTGTCACTTTGTAATGTTCAAAATCCAATTCACATCAATTAAACCATGGGATTAGTTATTGTCGCTTTTTTTTCTTTTTTTTTTTTAAGATTGATTATATAAATAGTGTAATAATTATATTTATTTTGATTGATTGTATTAGTTTATAATTATTTTTGTTAAATAATTAGATGTTGTGTTTAAAAATATTAATTTGTATTATTAATTTTAATTTATTAAATAATAAATATTAATTATTTTACTAATTAATAATTATAATTATAATTATTAATTATTTTTAACAAGCAAATAAGTTTTTTTCTTCATGTGTGACATTAACCAAAAAAAATTATATGCCAATAATCATGCCATAAATGATAGTGAAAAGCAATATAATTTCATTTTTACACAAGATTCAAACTTAAAATTTACTTTATATTGGAGGAAATTTAAATTGTCCCTATAAGTAAGAATGTCATGATTAAAGTCAAGCATGTAAAAGAAAAATAAATTTATTTAACTTGTATTTTGGATGTAATAATTACTCATTTTCTTTAAGATTTGCATAATAAAAAAATAATATTTTATTTTTAACATTAATGACATGTATATAATTTTAATTTAATAAAATTAAAATTGACTTTTACTTTATTAATAACAATTATTAAAAAAATATAATTAATATTTTTTTTAAATTTAAGGACATAAATTAAAAAAATTCAGTAAACTCAATTTTCCTCTTAGGAAGAAAATTCATGATGAAATCAAATGGTCTAATCAAGAGAAAACATTAATTAGACAGTATCTGAATCCCTGATTGGTTGTTGAATGGGTTGGCAGACTTGCACAGCATGGTGAAGAAAAGGATAGTCGACCCGTTTTCAGACATTCAAAAGCATTCTATCTTCCTAATTCCAAAGCTCCTCAACTTGCCCACTTGTGCATTCTATCTTCCTAATTCAAAAGTCCAATTTCGACTGCAAAAGCATGGCTCTTTTTTGAATAAAGGAAACTACCTACTACGACATTTGATATTTTAGGAGGGTGAAGGGAGCTGGGAGTCAAACCGCAGAACACCCGACAATGTTCCCACTTTGGACAGAGTGTTATCACTCCGTCCATTATTTAGAGAACCAAAAGCATGGCTTCTTAATCCATTAGAAAGGAAATTGAAGACATCTTAATATTTAATATTAAGGGTAGACCATCGGTAATAAAATATTTTAAATATAATTAAAAATTAAAAATTATAAATTATAAATTCAAATTTCAAAAGG